AGTTCACTTATACAGACTCCCAGGTATACCCCAGGTGACGCGTGTGAATGCTAACGGATGAGTGCCTGCTTTTGTTAGCGGAGGAGCTGCCAACTGAAGCAAACAGGGCAGAAAGACACTGGAGAGGAATGCATTAATAAGACCTTCTCAATTAAATAAGAGGGAATTTTATTCTGTCTGAAGCAGCCAGCGTGGAATCCTCATCAGACCGCATCCCAGCAGTTACGGTTTCTCTTTCTTAATATCTACTCTTGCCTTTTATTATATCATCCGCTGGTATGTGAATAAGAGTTTCTTTGGTATGCATTAACGTCTGTGCGGGGATGATACTGAAAGTGCTTACCGAGGGGAGGATGTCTCTCTGCTCCTATGAGGGATGGTGTGAGGAATAAGCACAGAACTGGCCAGGGGCTGTAAAGCGATTGCAAAAGATTCAATTGGATTTAAGGTTAGCCTCTGTTCATGGATTCTGCCATATCCAATCCCCACTGCAGGCTCAGTTTGATTCAGTGGGCTGTATAGGCAGAGGTGCCTGAGCCTTGGACGCATGCCATGTCTTATCCTCCCTCCTTCACCACAGGTTTAACTGCCCCTTACACACATTCAAGTAACCCCTAATTTGCTTTCAAAGTGCTATGTTTAGCATTTTTAAACACCCATATATCACTGTCAAATTAATTGTAATACCTCTGTATAATTGCCCGTAACAAATGAGAACATGGCTGAGACTATTTCTCACATCACGGCTATTGTTTTTTGCGAGTGTTTCTCTAAATTAAGATCCTCTCCGATGAACCATTCTGCTTCATCTTGCGGAGAAAAAAGAAAAACACGTCGGTACTTGCTTTCCTCTGTGTCTGGTCTTTCCCTGGGCATATTTGTTTTGAAGATGAAGAAGACGGATAGGAGCTGAAAAGCCAATCTGAATTCTCATTTGAAAAAAAGAAACATAAACTGGTTTTACATTAACACCAGCATCTTCTTTCTTATTCTATCACGGAGACTCTTTGCATTGAACAGCAAGTTGCAAGTTTCTGTCCTTTTCTGTCTGCAGGGATCAAGGTAAAGTGTTGGCTAAGGTCTCTGAATCTTTCAAACTTTTAAAACTTATTTTGAATCTCACAAGCTTTCAAGTGATGAAGCATGTAGTCTTAAGTTATCTTTTTAATCTGAAGCTAGAAAGACAGCAAGAAAGAGAGCAGGTGCGGTCAATGAACAGTTTGACAGTGTCTTTACTCCAAGTAACTTACCAAGATGTTCCGCTCTGTCCAAGAAGGCACTAAACCTTCATTGTGGTCTGCTGGAGTTGTACTGTTTCCTGCCTGCTGTGTAAATCATTCTGCTCCGTCCTCCATCACGGCTGTAACGTTATTGTTATGTTTGATCACCACATGATACAGGCACAAAGTTTCTGAATACAAACCAGTATTTTACATTCTGTTATTTTATTTTATTTATTTATTTTTTTTGGTTCAACAAGGTGTTTGGAATTAGACAAAGTCTCGGTAAGCTTTTTTGGCATTGGCATACGGCAGATCCAGGGTTTTGTTTTCTCTAGTAGGACATTCAACAATCCAGTCAGCTGAGAGGAGCTAATGACATGGTTAAAGTCTTCTGATATTATTACAAGTGCTTCCGGATGTTGAGTCTGTATCCTAGCAACAGTCCTAGCAACATCAGAAAGGACATCACTCAGAACTTCAGCTGTTGCCTTGGGTGGGATGTTTATAAGTATTATAATGATATGACTGAACTCCCTTGGAAGATAACATGGTCGAGAGTTCAATATCTGGACAACACATTATGTGCAGAAATAGAGAATAATTTACAAAACATCTTAAAACCTCTATAGTCACAGTCTGCAGGTGGATACTAGAGAGGTGAGGGGGCTGATAGTTGAAGAACAGCATTGGTGTAGAGCAGCACATTTGATTTGCAAAGCAGAGGCGTGAGTAGAGTAGAGTAGACTGCCTGATCAAGAGGATACTTTGTCAAATGAGTGTGAAAACGATGAAATGTAATGGTGAAACCAGTGTAGGTAGAGTTGTCTGCCCGAACTAGCTCCAAGGCATCGCATTACGACCGTGGTTTGGTCAAAAAAATAAGTCAACTCGGTGTAAGACTGAGGCTGTTAGGACGTCATATAAGATAATACAGATACGAAAAGAGAAATTAAAGGATAAAGACACTTCAAGTTGAATAAAGATATGTACATGAGTCTCATTCACTACATACATGTGTACAGAATATACATATAATCTGATTTATTGCGGTTATTGAGGTTTCTGTTGTGGAGTCTGACGGCTGCAGGAAGGAATGACCTGCGATACCTCCCCATCACACGCTTCAGGTGGAACATCCTGTCCCTTAAGGAGCTCCTCAGTGCAGTGGGTGTGTGTTGGAGGGGGTGGGAGTCTCTGTCCAGCATGGAGGACAGCTTGGGTGTGATCCTCCTCTCCCCAACCTCCTCCACAAAATAAATTGAAAGGGTGCGAAAAAGAAAGTGAGCAAACACAAGATGGTTTCCCTCTGCCATTAATTTCACACACACACAGCACTGCAGCAACAGTCCTTGTACTTGTGAACAGCTATAAGCACTCTGTTTAGAAAAGTTCATGAAGCTCACAAAGAGTTGTTACGCCTGCTTCAAAGTACACATTAGTTGATTGTTTCTCTGTCTGGGGAAACAGCAATCGTCGATCAGGGTAATTTATTTGAATCCCTCAACACATCTTACACTCTAAAACATCTTGTGCTTTAAAGTGATAAAATTGCAGTGGTTTTGCAGGATACGTCAAAGTATGTCAAAGTAATTTTTGCCTCACATCATCGTTAATATCGGCCTATTATCAGTGAACACAAAAGTGTCCTGCTCTACATAGACGTGGGCTGCGTCGATTTGAAATGAAAAAGGACTCCATTGACCCGAGATGCAGTTGTACAACAGAAGGCCATCCACTTCACAAATGTTTTGACTGTGAATGGTGAAATCTCTCAGATTGGCCTTGGGTGTTCTCTCCTCTCTCACCTTTTATGATCTTAAGCTTTTACTGTCCTCCTTTTGCAGAGTATCACATGGTTTCATTGTTTGACGGGATCTATTTATGCAAGTGTCCGATGAAGCTTGTATGAGAAACTAAGAGCTGAATACTCCAAATTAAAGCTGTGATACTCTGCTTGAATTGGTTATACAACAACATGCCCTTCATATCCAGAATAAGGATTTGTTGTGGAAGTTTAAACCTGGACTTATACATTATCTGTCCTCTCTCTGCCCACATCCAAGTATGAGAGCTGTTCTTTAAATGGTATTTCAGTCAAACTTACAGGTTTGATAACCATTTGACCTCTTAGCCAGGGGGGCTGTCTGAGGAGCCTGAAGGGAAAGCTTTGACTGACTCCATTTCAGTCAGTTTATCTAAACCCCTACTGCCAAAAAAAGCCTCTCGGGTCATTTAGCTACTGTCAACAATTCAGATGAGGCTGCTGGCCCATGAAGGATAACACAACGGCAGCTCCTCAGACACCCAGTGAGCTAGGAAAGCTTTTAGGCAAAAGTTTCAGTGAGCAAAAAAGGACAGAGTTTTTCATAGATCTGGTTTGGATGCTCATCTTTATCTCCTGTAATCATATGAGGGAGTTATCATATCAAATGTTCACATAAATTTTGTGGAACTTGACCCCAACTTGGCTCCAGCTTTCCAGACTCAATGTGGACGTGACAGATGATGACTCAGACTTGGATCTGGGCTCAAGCATGGACAGTATTAGGACCAAGAAGATGGAGAGGAGGACTCAGAATAATCTCTTGATGAAGAGAGTTATTTTTTTTATTAATCCTTTTTCATATAAATGATTAATTTATTGAGTTTCAATCGAGGTGCCCACCTATGAGTTGCAGATATACTTGACTTCATTAGACCCCCTCAATGATCCCACCGCAAAAGAAATAGTGAAACTACTTCCCCATTAAGAGAGGCATGATGTCGATTTATCCCTCTTTTGGACTGACTCATCTGGGTTTTTGTGTTTTGGGCTTTTGCAGTGACCAAAAGAGTGGGAGTAGTGACAAAAGAATTAAGATCGCAGAAGGGTGGCTGGGCTCAGCCTTAAAGAAAGAGTAAGAAGCTGGGACATCTGGAGGGAGCTTAGAGGAGAGCGGCTGTTCCTTGGCATTGGAAAGAGTCAGTTGAGGCGGTTTGGGCATTTGATGAGGATGCCTTCTGGATGTCTCCCCCTCGGTGGTGATCGAGGCGCATCCAACTGGGAGGAGACCCAGAGCTTGCTGGAGGGATTGCGTACTCCACCTGGCCTTAGAACGGCTTGGCATCCCAGAAGGAGAGCTAGAAAGTGTTTCCAAGGGAGACTTGGGATAACTTAGGTTAGACTGTCATTCCCGCTGCCTGACCCTGTTTGAACGGTAGACATCAGGTGGATGGATGAATGGATGTACTCAGACTCATTTATGGGGTTAAGACTCTGACTCAATTTTGTTTCCTCTCTAATGACCCAGTCTTGACTCTGCTCTGACCACCAAGGGCTTAGTGTTGTGACGTTCATGAATGATTTGCTCAAAAGAACCGAATCTTTTTTTTCCTTTTTAAGTGAACGTACTGAACCGAATCACTTCCTCAAATGATTCGTTTGTTTCTCACTTCAGTTTAACTCTGCTAAATCGCCACCACAACAACTTGCATACAGTACGACACAGCATGTTATAAGTAGTGTTTAAAACCAGCAGTTTATGGTAAACTTTCAGTGAACGAGAGTCGCAGGCTTCTCCTGATAAGCGCTGAATGATTCGGTGAATTAATCTTTTGAATGAATCTTTCTAGTGAACTAATTCTAATGATTCAGTACATCTAAAAGAACTGCCATGCCCATCACTACAAGGACTTTAGACTTAGTTTGGACTCAAGTTTGGCAACATGAAGACATCACTGCTGAAGATGAACTGCACAGGGTCTTTTTTTGTCCTTTAAACTTCTTTTTCTTGTTCAGAACTGAAGAGCAGCGAAAACTGACCCCCAAATTTCTCTGAGGGACAAACATTACCACAAAGCTACTGAGTGTGTGTTTGGACCATTGTTTTCCTCATGTGGAGCTCTTCTGTCCCCAAGGCCAACCATCAATCATGGCGGCTTTAAAGGGAATCACATCAAAATGCAGTGTGATGAAACAAACGTTGAATCCATAATATTGACTGGTCTGTGGGGTTTGGACAAGGCTGGATTATCACCTGGGTAAAGAAGCTAAGTGTCCTGCAGCATGAGACAGCAACAGGTGGCGACCATGCTACAACTGAGCTTTTGATTAATGTTGAAATTGTTTGGAAATACTAAAGAGAAACTGAAGTTCGAGGGCAGCTGGTCTTGGATGCAGGCGCTCCAAAGGGGACACAAAGGCCACGGCTCGGCTGTTTCCCTTAGAGTGTGGATGTGCAGCGCTAGTTTGCAATACGACAGGAGGAACAAATGCCATTGATTGCAGATGAATAGCAGATCATTTCATGAAATGAAAGCACTGCCTCTTTTCTAGGTTGTCGTGGTGAATCGAAGGTGTAACCACATGCATATACGCTGCATTGAAAGCCTAGCCTTGCGGCCCTGCACGGCCATTTGTCTTGTGTATTATTTATTGCGGGGCTGGCATTCACACACCTTGTTTCCGAGGCAAAACATGACCCTGTGTGAAGAGCACAACCTCGCCTTGCAGAATAACACATCAAGCCCAAGATCCCTCTGAACCAGTTTTGATTTGGAGTTTATTCCGAGTTTGTCCATCGGTAAAACAAACAGAGCCATTGTAGGTAAGGTGAGGTAAAGTCATGATTCATTAAAAGCTTAATCAGACATGATCAGAGAGGAGGATGAAATGGTAGTTGTACATGCTGATTTTGTTTCCTCTTAGGAGGGGAAATTCTCTGGTGGAAAGGTCTGCGTAAAAGGAGCAAGACCTTGATATAGTCTTGGTGATGCAAACTGACTGCCGCTGTGCTCGGTATATTAGTTTCCTTGCATTAGTATGCTGCTGAGCATTCTGTAGCTCCGCAGTGATTATCAGTTTGCTGAGATGCAGGGCCACCTCAGGGTCAAACAAAGAAAGAGGATGGGGGCAGCGGTTCAGCCCCTTTGGCCTCATTAGTTAATAAGAGTGCAGACCGGTAATTTCTCTCACAATCGTCTTTGAGTGTGCACCGAGAATACATGAAAGATGACGGAGTCACCGGTGTGCTGGAAAAGGACAGATGAAGTCCGATTCATTTTCTGCCAAACTAAAAACAGCAAACTTCAATTAAAATGTCAAAAAGAGGAAGTACTTTGGACGACTTTCATGGCTTTTATGAAAACTCGATGATGAGATAACACCATCTTTCTCTAAACTCGGGCCAAAAATACACATTTTTAAATGACAACAAGCGACTCGTCTGTTTGAACAGCTTGTGATTCTCACTCAGTGTGTTCTGTTTTCTTGTAATAGCAGGAATGAAGGCTTAAAATGTGCTCAAAACAGCTCCTGCTGTGTTCCAAATGATCCGGGGTTAGAAGTTTAGAGAAACCACTGAACTGAACGGCAGCCAAGAGATGTGGAAATGGAAAAAGTGACACTGCAACACGATGTTTCTGCAAGTTTTAGTTATCTCAAAGATTTCTATATATAAAACTCCACTCTTTCACTGATGGGGTATTTTTATTTTTCAAGTCATCCTATATCTTGGTATCTTGAAAGCATCTCTCTGTATTCACCTCTGCGTGCTGGTTTTCATTTCAATTGGGGGACTCTGTCTTTCCCGGTCAGGATTTAGCTTTCACACTTTCAGCCAAAGATCTGCTGGCAATGATGCATAGTCACATTGAATATGATGTAGAGCCAAATAAAACTATATACTTGTATTTCGCCTGCTTCTGCAGATTTCATTTAATCATGACTGGAGTTTCAGCCCTGTTTGTTTGGCTGTGCTGTGCACCAGATGCTTACAGAGTAGCTTTTTGTTGTGTTTGCTGTTTGCAGCTTAATAAATTTCTCATTTCAAACAGAAACAGGGGCTTATAGTGCAGGAATTTTCTGTTTTGAATCAACAGTAAACAAATATTAGGTGTTATGTGTCTTATGTTGGTATGGGCAGCACAGAAGTGTACTTGAACGTGCAAGTCAGTCAGTCATGTTTTCATTCATTTTTGCCTAAAATAAGTCTTAGGCTAGTTTTAGATGTAGGAAAGTCTTTTCGCTTCTGGCATCTAGCAGATGTAATTATCAGTTTGGTGTTTGTTAAGTGTTTCTTCACCTTTTACCCTTTTATTTTGAAGGATAACAAAAACATCTCTCTTCCTGTGAACCTTTAGCTTACTGGATAAGAAGGTAAAACACACTGAAATCAAATTTTCTTTGTTTTAAAACTGAATATTCAACGGTCAAATTTAATCATCCTTTTAGTTAAAGAAATCTTTGTGGTTGAGGATTAGAAATTAAAGTCCAGGAGCCTATGCTGATAGATAATTCAGGTGCAGCTGAAAGAAAATGACCATGAGCTGGTTCATTTCGAACCTAGGAGCAGTAGCGGGTTCAACTTTTACAGACATGACAGCCAACAGAGAAAAGGACCGACTGACTTCACTGATGTTCAAAGACTTGTCTGTTCGAAGTTACTTCGCTGTTTCAAGAGCCACTTTAACCAACCATAACAACATTTATTGTTTGCCCTCTTTGTGCGTCAGAAGGTACTTGTTCCATGGTAACTGTTCCCCGGAAGAAACGATTTTCGAAATTCTCCTTATTTCTCAAGACTAAGAACCAATCGATTAATCAACGATCGACTAATTGATTGTTAAGAATTACTTAGTTTATGCGAAATTTCAATCAATCTAACGTTACTAATGAAAGGGCTGACAGTGTGCGTTCATCCTCCATTAAAGATCAACCTCTGCGGATCAGGAGAGATACCCTCTTTGTCCAGTCAGTGTGTATTTGTATTGGATATAATGATGTACCACTTCAACCACATATTTCCAACTGAGGTTTATGAATCCTTCGAGTGCTCTTATCTCAACCTACCATCAGTTCCTTGCTAGCAAAGAGGAACTGTAGGGTGACCAGTTGTCCCCAGTTTCGAGGGACAGTCCTCAGTTTTGGATAACCTGTCCCCGGCTAAAGTTTTCACCGGGAATGTCCCAGATTTAGCATATCACGAATGAGAAAAAAATAACGGTTATTACTGGGGAGGTAGGAAGTGCAAGTGAGCATGTAGTGTGCAGTCCTGAACAACTGTTTGGGGGAGGGTTCAACAAGAAAAAACATGTTTTTTGTGTATTTTCGGCTAAATAAGTAGATTGAGGGACTTTCTTAAAATGCCCATTCCCAGTCCAAAGCATCTTAAAAGCTATTAGTAGTGCCTGATGCAGAGATGTAAGGGCTGAGAGTAGTCGGGAACAAATCTCTGTACAAAGTTTTTTTTTGTCTTTTTCATTGTGGAAGTAGGTTTTCTTCTCTCCTTGAGAAATAAAAGCTGCCACCAGTCACAACAGCAGTTTGGATTTATTCCTGGCAAAGCTTAGACTGACTTATTTCAGGAAATGTTGGAGTCAGCATGGACCAGAGCGGTGAGGTTTTCATGCTCATATCAGCGTCTGTATTTTAAAGGCTGGGGTCGTATACTGAGAGATTTTTCTTCGCTACTTTTAGTTGTGTTCTTGTTTTCATACAGCTGATACTGTCGTTGTTTGCTGGAGGAGTTTTGTTATAAGTCTGCCCTCCCTTCAGTTCAAACATATTAATATTTTTCTTTTCCAAATTAAAGCGTGCCCTCAGTTGGATTGCTGTTAATTATAATGTACCGGGGGATTTGACCTTTTAACTGAAAGACCCTGCAGGAAGTTAATTGGTGCAGGCTCAGGCGTATTCAGGTCAGACCTGGTGCAAATTACCTGGAAGTACTTTTCATGATCTGCTCCGGCTGAGGAGTGGGATGACAAGGGTTTATTAGAGAGAGGAGACTGAATAAGAGCAAACTCAGTGCTGGTGTTATATCACAGTTTGAAACGGCTCATAGAGGTCACAAAAACAGACAGTAAATTGCCAATGGGATTCTTCGTCTTGGCTTTGTCAACAAGGGCTGTAGCCTCTTGTTTGAGAAGTGTAAAGCTACAAACCTGAATTCTTGCTAACTGCCAGCAGGAGGCGACCCCATTTACCAGGGTTATTTTTACCTAACTGCAGAAGTAATGCCCAGGACAACCACATCATGCTCTAAATATCGAGCTTAGATCTGGTTTTGCCCACCAGCTCCGCTCCCTCTCTTCCACAGAGCAATGCCCACATTACTGCTGACCCTACACCAGTCTGCCTGTCAGGCTAAGAATCCATTACACCCTTACCCCTGAACAAGAACCCCAACCACTGAGAGCAATGTACTTTTATCTGAGAACCATGGACACAACCTTAAAGGTGTTGATTCTCACCCGAGGCGCTCAATACTTGGTTGCAAACCCCCCAAATACCTGCTGAAAGGCCAACAGAATCGTATCATCTGCAAAGAGCAGAGTTGAAACCCTGAGGCCCTAAACTGCAGACCCTACCACCCTTGCCAATGCCATCGACAAAGGTCAACCCCACCGAAAGCCAGCATGTACTGACTGTACACGGACTGCAAACAACAACACATGCAAAGCAAAGTCTGCGGTCACCCTTTAAAATATTACCGCTGATAATCGAGGAGAAAAGGACACTTCACCCTCCATCCTGACTGCTGACAGTCATTGACCAGTCCTGTGTACTTGGAGAGCTTCCTCTCAAAGACTTCTTCCAGGCGGTCTTCCCACGGTACGGTCAGTTCCAGCATTATCACTTGCTTGGTGGTCTCTGACACAAGGACAATGTCAGGATGGAGGGTGGTGACTGCAATTTGGCTCGGGAACTTCAGTTGATGTTCAAGGTCCACTAGCAGCTGCCAGTCTCTTGCAGAGGTCAGGATGCTGAAGGGGTCACCTGGATGAGGGTGTATGCTGTTGAAAGACCCCGAAACACCCAATGATTCCAGGAACATCACTGATGATGTGTCCAGTTGCATTACTAGATGTATTTACACAGTGACAAAATTTCCTCTTTTTGGAATCACAAGAATTTCTTTACAAAGCCTGACCTCTCTCTCCTGAGTGCTTTGGTCGAACAGAAATATTGAACACAAAGACCATCAGAATGACAAGCATTCACATTATGAGGAGGTGTGTAGCAAAGGTCTTAAAAATCTCTCAAACTTCATAGTAGCAGCTGACAAAGCCACCAGCTCTGAATACTCAAATTTTGAATCCTCAAGGCGTGTACATTCACCATCCTCACCTTTCATGGGACGACAAAGCGGTCTCATGGAGCAACAGCCATCTTTTCGGCCAAGACTTTGCTTTGCATGTGCCGTCAAATCCTATCAGTGGACAACGCCAATCGCATCATATCAAAGGTCAACCCTAACGAATAACAGCATGCACTGTACATGGACTGCAAACAACAACACATGGAAATCAAATTCTTGGCCGAAAAGATGGCTGTTGCTCCCTGAGACCGCTTTGTCGTCCCATGAAAGGTGAGGACGGTGAATGTACACGCCTTGAGGATTCAAAATTTGAGTATTCAGAGCTGGTGGCTTTGTCAGCTGCTACAATGAAGTTTGGGGGATTTTTAAGACCTTTGCTACACACCTCCTCATAATGTGAATTGTGTTCAATATTTCTGTTCGACCAAAGCACTCAGGAGAGAGAGGTCAGGCTTTGTAAAGAAATTCTTGTGATTCCAGAAGAGGAATCTTTGTCAAGTCCTTCTCTCCTCGAGCATCAGCGGTAATATTTCAAAAGGTGACAGGTTTACATGAAAGTGCCCACACTCTTCCGTGGTCCTTCATGCTGTATCCGAATGAAGCTTCTACCTATTTATCCCTCATGGTCATCAGAGAATAAATTGTACCCATTGTAGTTACTCTAAAAGCTTTCACTTTGTACCAACATCAATCCTCTATTTCATCTCTGTACTCACCATATCTCTTAATGTACTGGGAAGGGTACAATGGAATTTACTGAGCTCAGTCTTCCTCCCTTGCTGCAGCTTTCACGAGCACCTAGCAGAGCTTTAGATCTCCGCCTTGTGTTTTTTTTAATCTTTGCCTTCCCACTCTTTACCTTCTGTTTTGTATGTTGTCTATTCATTGCTAGATTTATGCCGAAACAGTTTTTTCTTTTTTTCCTGCTGCTACCCCTTTTTTTCCCCTTCCTTTTCAGCTTTTGTGCGGCATCCTCTCAAGGTTTAGTAATTAGCTGCTGTCAGAACGAGGACACTCAAATTAGTCAGAAAAAAAAAAATAAGGACATTTTAAATTTTGGCCTCAGTTAAATAACCAGATATCACTAATGACAGGGAGGGAGAAGCTTTTGGAAATGTATCAGGGGGATGTTTATTTGGTGTTGTGATGTGAGGCTGCACATTTTTCATCAATGAGAGGGGAAATATGAGGCTCCGAGTGGCATGTCACATGCTTGTTAGTTTTCACTTTTTACTCTTCAAGTTATTAGAAAAGCTGTTGATTCCTGCCGCACACAATACTGTTCCTCCAGATTTAGTCCTCTCCATTTATAACACACTTGGATGACAACTGGAGTAGTGGCGGGTTTGGGGGGAATGATGGCAACAACAGTAATCCTGACAAAGCTGTGTTGGAGAATGACTGAAAGATGTGAAGAGAAGGAGCTTAGCTGCTGACACGTCTGTGTCAATTTGATTAAGGCCTGACACCCACACACAGCACATGGAAACGGCTGCTTACTGCTTTGTGCACTTTCTCAAAGTACAGCAGGTTAATGATAAGTGGTGCAGGCAGCTTGGAATGTGCTTCTGAAAGGCTAATTTATCTGCCTCTGAAGTACAAATTGGAAACATAATGCTTAAAGTTAGTTCTGTGAGGAGGTGGAATACGCCAGCTGGTTTTATATTCACTGTGTCACCTGCAGTCCTCTTTCTGATTCAAGTTAAATTTAAAAAAAGAAATAAATGTAACCTGTAAAAACCATAGTACTTTTAATTTTCTTACCCTTACATGATGCATTCACCTGAACAGTTAATGCATTTAAATGGCTCATTACAAAGCGCAGAAAATCCACCAATTGTTTATTTCTTGTAGAGCAGGGATGAATGAAACACAGAATTCGTCACATGTTGATTTGCAGGTTTGTTTTGCAGGATCTTACACATTTTGATGGAAACCCGGTTAAAAGTTTGGAGAAATCACAATATATGCAGAAAAATGAGACAAATTGTTATCATTTCAGCAAAAGAACAAAGCTATTTTGCTCCGGCGAAACTTTTATGGACAAGCTGAAAACAATGTCCCCTGCAGGGTTTGAATCTTTATTCGTAATATTGTTTTGCAGTATTTTATAACACTTAGATTTTACCTTGCGCGATTTTTTTTATGAATTTGTTGATTGGGGTGGTCTTTCAGTGTTAACCTTGAATGCAATGCAGTTATGGTCTGAAATGAACCCTTTTTTCAAATCATGTACTTGTTTTTGCTCCTCGTGACACACTATAGCAAAGCCGCTGTTGCAATTCTCGGTACTGCTGTGATGGAAGAGAATAGCACAGTTGCACTTCTGACACTTCACTTTGAAATACTCCCTGATGGCTCATTTGACAAGTCAAAGAAATATGCGCTTTGTGGTTAACAGAAATGAAATATTTAATAGCTGTCCCTGTAACAATGAGTGCAGCACTGTGTGTAAAACCTTGGGCAACAAACAGAGACCTTTTCTACGTCTAGGAGGAACTTTGACACTGAAATAGATGAAATATGAGTGTAAGTGCGAACTTTACAGTTTTAAAGCAAGCACAAATTATATCTGTATGTGTATCACATCTGACTAGCTTATTGAGAGAGAAGAAGAGAGGTTTGCCCCTCTTCTTATGTTTGCAGAGAGAGAGAGGGGGATTCTAATACAAACTGAGCATGCACGTGCAGCCCACGGGAGTAATTTTAAAAAGCCCGTTTTGGTCCCCTGCAGTTTTAACCGTTTAAAAATCAATGTTACTTTACGCTATAGCAAACTGATAAACGTCAGGCACTAGGACCAAACGGCCGCTCAAGCCGCAAACTGGTTCCCCTCGTTTTAAATCGCCCACAAGGTCCTTGATTGGCTCGGTCATCGGAGGTTTCATTTACATCCCTGTATCGCGTTTGTACTTCCATCCACCCGCTGGCCGTATTGCCTCCTCTGTTACTGTGTGTACAAGATGTGCTGTTTGCTAGGCTGTATGTCTCAATAGTACTCAAGTCACATGTGTCCCCCCCAACCTTTGAAATCAAAATTCCGTCCATGATGCAGCCAATCAGGAGGCCATGTCATAAAAGCCAGCAGAGCACTATTTTAGAGCATGCGAATCCCCAAAGACCTGTGGATGCTTTAATTGGCATCAACAAGTTGTCAAATCAAAACCCCGTCGAGAAGAAGACTGTGTGTGTGTGTGCATACTAAGCAAAGACAAGCGTTCTTGTACAGCGTGGTGACTTGAAAACGATTGAGTATGCTGTATTTATTCACAGAAAACAACTGCCATATGTGGATACATTGACCAAATTGTTTGTCTTTCTTGTCCACATAACTAAATGACTAACCTGAGTTCACAGGAATTACTTCTACTTCTTTGAAAACTGTGCTTTTTTGCAAGGATGAGGATGGGGTCAGAGTCATCGTTTGCCATTGCCAAATTTGATTTATTTGCACATGCAAAAAGATAAAATAAACAAAATACATCTGTGTTACAATATTGTGCGGGAGAAGTTTGGAAGCCTGAAGGCTTATAAAGAACTTCCCCTCAATTAACAATCATTAGAACCATATAACACATAAAAGATTAATACATTATATTAATCTATACAATATATAGATTATACATAGTAATACTTCTGTTAAAATGTTAAACAACAAAATACACACAGCAAGACTCATGCAAGCGTAAACTCAAACTCCACAGACAATACTATACAAGTTGATACATTGAAGAACTATTCCTTGGCAATCAACATCTTCCTGTAGTTGGTTTTGAAAACTGGCAGCGAGGATTCTTTAAGCTTTGGGTCAGTGGCATTCCATAACCTAGAACCTCTATATCGTATTGAAAACTGCCTAGTGGAGGTGTGACAGTAAGGTACATGAAGGTCCTTTGATTGACGTGTCACAATAGAGTGAATCTCTGAATTAAAGGAGAAGAAACCTTTAAAACTTTTTGGTAAATTGTGATGATCATACATGCATTTGTACACAAATATACATATCTGTAAATAATTAACCTCAGATACTGACAGAATATTTAGCTTCTTAAAAAGAGGAGCAGATGGTTCAAACCGGTCAGAGAATGTTGCCAGTCTAACAAATCGTTTTTGAAGTAAAATAATTTTATGTAGATGTGAAGAATAAGTACTAGCCCATATCATATTACAGTAAGATATATAAGGAAAAATGAGACTGTAATAAAGAGTTAAAAAACAACTTCTATTCAGCAATGTGCACACCTTTCTAATTATACCTAGTGATTTCATTGTTTTTTTACAGACATGATCAATTTGCATTTTCCAATTAAGTTTATCATCAACTATAATTCCCAAGAACTTTGTTGAGGTTACTTGATCGATTTCAATGTCATTGATAAACAGTTTAACCTTCTCACTTGAATAATACTTTCCTTTGTTACAAAATAAAATAAAATTTGATTTTGCCACATTCAACGACAGCTTATTAGTCTGGAACCAAATAGAGACACGACATAACTCACCATTTGCTTCCCTTAATAATGATGACAGATTCTCATGGGACATAATGAGGTTGGTGTCGTCAGCAAACATAATTGAAAATAATTCAGGAGATACCCAAGCAAAATCATTTATATATATCAAAAATAAAAGGGGGCCAAGTATAGAACCCTGAGGAACGCCACAGACTAGCTTTGCCCTGTCAGAGTCAATACCATTAATAGATACAAATTGCTTCCTATTATAAAGATAGTCACTGAGCCACTTTATCACAGCACCAGCAAAACCATACCTCTGTAACTTAATAATAAGAATGTTATAATCCACGGTATCAAATGCTTTGGATAAATCCAAGAATATGCCTAGAGAAAATTTCTTATTGTCTAGTGCATTTGTAATTTTATCAATAAACTGCAATAAGGCCATATAGGTAGAATGTTTTTGTCTGAAACCATATTGATGCTCATATAATATGTTATTGTCATTTAGATGTTTCAAAATTCTACTATAAATCAATTTCTCTAACATTTTAGAAATAGATGGTAATATAGAAATTGGTCTATAGTTAGAAAATAAGGATGAATCACCAGATTTAAACAGAGGTACAACTTTTGCCACTTTCAAATCGCCTGGGACAACACCTGTCGCAAGAGAAAGTGAAAACACATGGTTCAATGGCTCAGAGATTGAAGGCAGTACCTCTTTGAGCAGACTGCTTTTAATGTTATCATAGCCAGCTGCTGAGTTTTTTAATTTTAAAATAATATTCTGTATTTCCTCAGATGTAGGTGGTTCAAATATAGACATGGGCGGGTACTGACCCTGAATCGTTTCAAGTGGACAGTTGCTTGTACTCTTAATGTTTCTA